AGCCTCCGTGGCGCAATCGGCTAGCGCGTTCGGCTGTTAACCGAAAGGTTGGTGGTTCGAGCCCACCCGGGGGCGCTTTCTTTTTTTTTAACAAATTCAAGATTGTTAATAAAGAGATATAATTTCATCAACTAAAATATCAGTTATTTGAAGTATTCATCGAAAGTATTTTTCTGCGGATCCACTCCCATTCGCAGCAATTACCTGAATCATGTGGTATGACACGACTTTCATTTAATTGTTTACAGTTCGTTGATTACACAAGTGAGCACTTTTTCTGGTATGAAATGAATGAGTGGAATTACTGTTATTACTCACACTTGAACCTGTAATACTTTCCGTTTCGTTTTCAAGGTAGGTAGGTATGGACCGATGTTTTCATCATTACATGGTACACGGAGTACCTATTCTGAATATTGGTAAATATCCAAATTTTTGAGGTCGAAACATAATTTTATGGCGCCTCTCAGATTAGGGTTCAACAACCTGATTAGAGTCAGTCAACTGATCATAAATTTGAGCAGTACCTAATTATCTGGTGGATTATAAGTGTGATTTTTCGATGTGATGAGTATTACAGTATGAACAGAATTGTTTGTTCTTTCTGTTTTTGCATACGAAGATAAAAATTTCAAAGAAACATAGAACCGTTAATGTTAGTTTTCTTAAATTTCGTGAACATTTTGGTCAGGTTTGTTCACCTCGATGATATGTTAGATGTTCTTTTGAAGTACACAAACTGTCCAAGCAAATACCTACCGACTCTCTCCACAGACATATCACTCAACTAGTAATATTTGTTTTCCCTAGGCGCAGTAAATGTTTGATAATTCTCTCTATGTGAATACTGCTGACAATACTTCTGAGATTTCAAATCAGGTAGAACAAAGTTACCAGCTGAGAAATGAAATGACTACAGTACTCTTTCTTGTTTTTTCACTTTTTTTCAAGGACATATCACAAGCACTACAGGAAAATCCTTAAGGTGCTCTCAGAGCGGAGCCTGTGCGGAAGTAGCGATTCACATTGGATTTGAAACGCTGGAAATTAAATCCATTTGGAAAAACGTTATCAGTAAGTTTATCTCACATGAACGCAGTTCTCCAAATGAAAAAGTTCTTGGACAGTGAAGTTCGAAATGTACTGAGTTGAACCTCAAAACGATGAGCAGCCAGTCCAACGTGTATATATATGCACCGCTCTTGGTGGAACCAAATGCGCCAAGTCACTTGAACACTTGTGTTCTATAAAAGAGAGACAACTCTTCAACTTTTCTTCGATGTTCCAGGCTATCAAGGTTGTACCTGATGTTCGCATCTCCAATCAGGCGGATGGCTCTTTTCTTGATGGAATCCAGCAACTTCAGGGTATGTTTGGGGGCAGAGCTCCAAACATGAGAACAATACTCCAAAGAAGGTCTGATCTGAGCTCTATGAAGCATCACAAGTTGCTGAGGTGTGTACAGTTTTCTGGTTCGGAACAGTGTTTCAAGCTTTTGAGAAGCAGCCTTTGCAATTCCATCGATGTGATTGTGCCAAGACATATTAATGTCCATTTTAACCCTCAACAAACTTATCGAAGCAGAAAGCGGAATTGTTCGACCTGACATTATTATATCCGATTCGGAGACATTCATCTTCCCGAAGAAAACCGATGCCTGAGTTTTGTGGTATTGAATTGAACCTGGTTACTTTCATCTCAATTCGAAATCACTCCTTGATCCTCATTAATATATACAACCTCCTGCTGCCGGTGAGGATGTGCCTCCGTAGCCAATGTCCTGGAATCCAAATGGAATGAAGAAACAAATGTGCTGTCGTCAACAAAGCAATATAGTGGATTGAATTGATGGATATGGCCGTTACTACGTGATAGGAGATCATAATGAAGAAAAGAGAATTGAAACTTTCTATGTTTTTACCACTACTGTTTTTACTACGTTACTGCAGTTTCGTCCTATAAGGACAATTTCAAATGTATACATTAAACTGTATAAGTTTGTAAAAGTTAAACTGTATAGCTTTGTATGAGTTAAGTTTGAAAATGCCCTTAAAGGACGAAACTCCAGTAACGTTAGTTACAAATAAAAGTGGTAAAAAACATAGGTGTATTATTTATCGCCGTCATCAAATTCCCTTCATACACATACATACTAGTATTCTTCTCACTCCTAAACACAGCACTCCTACCTCGAATTCAGTGTTCTATGAGATTCCAAACAGAGTTTGAACCTCTCTCTATAAGAAAAAGCGTGGGATTTTGACACAGAAGCATGACAGCCTATTTACTCCCAGATTCATTCGGGGTATTGACTATTCAAAATAAATTGGGAGTAGAAGAAGAGCGAGCCACAAACATCATGCGAGACGAGGTGTCAATTTGTCCTTTGGTATTTGCCACCATCAATCCTGATGAACCAGGTTGAATAAGATTGGTTTCTGATGAAGGTGCTGAGTCACATAGAAGATATAAAATAGCCAGACATCTTTGAAATGCAAGTAATGATTTTTGAATCTACCTGATCATCTTGCTATTTAAAATTAATCAAGAATATCTAAGAAAGAAAAATGACTACTCAATAGGAGATTATTTCAGGCATAACAAGCATATATAATGTAGACGACTACTTAGATTTTGAGGCAACTGAAGAGAAAACTTCAGCCACAGCACTGAAGGGATGGATATGCGAGGTTGTGAAGCTTTCTATTTAGTGTGCAATTTTTCAGTAATCAGGAGAAGGTTGAATGCAAATTCAATATATTTGGAAAATATTTTGGACAACAAGGAATCGAATCAGAGGTTTCTAGTGATGTGGTGGACTGCAGTTCATTTTTGGCATTGAAAATATAGTCAAAAACCCAAAATTCACCAAGCGAGACATTTTGAAAATGGTATTGGTCTTTTTGAGCTTTCAGGGTTTCTTGGTACTATCATAATTGTAGCGAAAATAATTCTGCATGATATTTGTGGAGCAGGAATCAGTCGCATTATTCCGGAGGACCATATATGGAACAAATGATTACAGGAATTGGAGATGATGATAGATCTTGCGATCTCTTTTTTGGTTCCTACTTGTGTGTTGCAGTTGTGACAGTTGTATGTGTTTTGTGATTCAACTGAAAATACATTTTCATCGATATGAATGTATGATCTGATCAGTTTGAAAATGTTCGAAAAAATTAATGTTGAATTTGTGATGACAAATACCAGGGGAGAACCACTAATATAACTTTCCATTTCAGAGTTAAAATCGCTAGCTGCTGTTAAGAACATAGGCCATATGTTTCGTACCGAATGTGAGAAATTCAGGAAAAAACTCAACTAGCACGATTGCATTGGAATCTAACTGAGCTAAACATTGGCGTTGCACGTACAAACTAGCACTGAAGTATCAAAAATTCGGTTAAATGATTGATACTTTCTTGAATTTTCAGGAAAAATAGGAGCAAAAAAGGTAAGCAATACAAAGAAAGATACCTAGTTGGAGTTGAAATTTGACGGAAAAATCACATACACAACTTTACCAGTTTCAACTGGCAAAATAGCTACCTAAATTCACTTCGGAAAATGAACCATGCATTTGGCAATGATAGTGTTATTGAACGCAATGGTCGACGTTAGTATGGGAAATTTCTTTACAGAGACTTCAGCCTCGAAAATGAGCCCCGGAGTGATCGACCTAAAGTAATTTAGCACGAGGATTTGAGGATCCTGGTGAAGACTGACCCATCACAAACGATGCGAATGATGGCGGGAAAACTTGGCGTCAGCTTCCATGTGGTTTTTTTTTCTTGTATTCTCCTACAAAGATATTTTTGTTGAATTCAATATTCAGGTTGTATATTGAATTATGTCATCAATTTACTTGTCATATTTTAAAGAAGAAGTTGACATGAACGTGTGTCCTAACTTGCTTCGTTTCAGACGGTTTGTTACAGTTTTACTCAAAATTAATTTCTTTTATCTATAACTCACAATTACTTTCGCCAATTTTTATTAAACTACGTGTGTTATTATAAGTAACAATGAGCTTGTTTTCATGAAATCACATTAGGAATTTCAACAGAACATGAAACAATTGAGAAAATTAATTTTTGAAATCAGAGCATCCGTATAAGAGTTCGTCTCCAAACACGTCTTTTTTGTTGACTTTTCAATCAGATGAAGATATCAAACTTGGAGAAAACAATGGCGTACACTTATTTTCACCATAAATAATAATCAGGTAATATTATGTGACGCCACTGGAATTATTTTCCGTGACATAATTTCATGAAAAAGAGCCCCTTGTTACCGCTTACAAACTCACCTAGTTAGCAAGTTGGAACACATGTTTATGTGAACTTTTTCACATGAAATATGTAATCACCACCTAAAATTAATGATATCATTCAATGAGATTTGTCACTGGTATTCAGAATAGAAACTTCATTCAGAAATAATTTGCTAGATTGAGGTTCGTGAAAGTTTTTATGAAGTTTTCTGAGATGATCAGAAAATATCACCTGAAATGTTCCATTTTATGAATAATTTCGTGACATTTTGGAAATATTCACTTTTCACGAAGCTAATTTATATGTAGTTATAAAAGTTTGTTCAATTGGAATTGACAAAATGTGTTTGATATCCTTCCTTCATGTACAATTTTTTTCATAGAAGTTTGATTCAATTCGCACTAATTGATATCACAGTAATCAAAATCAATACCAAATATAGTCTCAAACTACCCCGGTCTTCATTATTGAAATTCATTCAACTTTTCTCTGACAAGTAAACGACAAAATGATTTGCTATACAATAAACTTTCGAATGCATGTTTGATATCGTATAATTTGTTGAATAACTGAAAAAAAAACAAATGAATTCAAATCACTCACCTTCATGATGCGGTGGAGGATAATTGTATGGAACATGATAATCATGATATTCGGGACCTGAAGCAGATGGAGGTCCATCATATATTTCTTCGGGTGCACTGGGAGCGGAATAATGTGTATCTGGAAACGAATTTTATATGATGAATTATCTTGAAACCACTGGATAATATCTATACTGATTATTTTTACTATTTTTACTATTTTTGTAGATTTTGCTAAATAACTCACATATCGTATCGAAATATGGATAAAAATCAATGAGTGTGGTGGATGAACTGCATATTTTGAAGAAGATTGTAGAGAAAACATCACTGACACTAGTATCAAAAGTATGTATTTAAGGAAAGATGATTTCGATATACTGGCACCAAAGGCTTTTCTCAAGGAGAGATGTCCCCTCTGTTATGGGGCCTTGTGAGAATCAGCTTCTGCATCTTCTGCACTATGATGAATGAACAGTACAGAGTCATACAGGCGACTTAGTCGTCTAGTACAGGACAGATATACGTGACTTCAAATATTATTAACTATTTGTGCAGTGATTCGAAGTAGTATCTTTCAGATTATCTTACTGTTAAGCTGATCTCTGAACACACTCCTGTGATATTTTTTCCTAACCGAAAGGAAATAGGGATGAATCGAACATGTTGATTTCATCATCACCTCATTAGGTGAAATATCGCTTGACTCGGACGAAATGGTTGCAGATGTGGTAACGAAGACATATTCCAAAAAAAAAACAAATGATTCTGTCTGAAAGCATGGCGCGGCTTCTTGGAAGAAACTTTTTCTTTTCTGACTGAAGAGAATAAAATCCAAGGTGGTAGGCATTGATTAAATGGAACCTGAAGTTCCGAATGTTTTGTTTGCTACTGTGGCAGACTGCGAGGACGGTTATATCTCAAAGCGCACTTTCGTCTAGCTCACATATTAGACCTTATTCATCCCAACATCATAATCTGCTTTGTTCCGACTATCGAGATGTTCTCGATTCATCCCTCGGATATACTGGGGACACATTACGTAGCTGAACATCTCACAAGGTAGGGATCGACCGGTAACCTAGAACCCATCGGCTCCGGTTTGAGAGTGAGAATCCGTTTCGGTATGCTCACGCTCAGACGATCACTTCTTTCAGAAAATAATTCAAAACCAAATTGTTTCAGACACTGACTCGTTGACATTAGAATCAGCAGTACCATAGGTCTTGGGATTCAGGTCCCAAATAAATCTGTTGGATTTATGTGATGATTGTCAGACCAATGATCACTTATGGTACAATTGCTTGGTGGCCGAAGGCTATACAGAAAACGGCCCAAGCGAAGCTCTCTGGCTCACAGAGACAGGCTTGTCTGGCTATCAGTGGTGCCATCAGTACCACACCGTCAGCGGCCATAGAGATCCTTCTAGGTCTACCTCCTCTCCAAATTTTTCTGGAAAGAGAGGCTAGATGTACTGCATACAGACTTGTGCATATTGGCAATTGCACAAATCAATTCAATGCAGAGTGCAACAGATAGTTGGTTGACATTGGAAGTCACAGCATTCTGGAAATGACCTCAGACTTTATGTCTCCAACTGTCAACTACGAACTGCCTTATAAAGTACTATTCCCGAGTAGAGAGGACTGGATCCTGGGGGAGAAGGAAATATTAAGAGCAGATAGTTGTTGGTTCACAGATGCATCAAAAACACCTTCCGGTTATGGTGCGGGTGTTTTCAGTCGCAGACCCAGGACAGAGATATCTACCTGCCTACGAACTTTGCGACTGTATTTCAAGTGGAAATTTACGCTATTGAATTGTGTGCGGAGAGATTGGATAAATCCAACCTCACTCACACGTCAATAAAAATATTCTCGGACAGTAAGCGGCGTTAGAAGATCTTGGCTCCTATACTGAGCAACGTCTAAATTGGTAGCAAACTACCAAAAAAGACTCTGCTGGATATTAAGACTAAACAGATTATCTCTGGTCTGGATTCCTGGCCATACTGGTCTGGAAGGCAATGAAACTGCTGACTCTCTTGCAAAGGAGGGTGCTGCAAGTGGCTTCATTGGACTATAAAATGATGAAACTTTGAGTTCGGCAGATCCGTACTCTCACCATCTGACCTGAAAGACCACTCACCATACAAACTAATCGGCTTCGTTGATAAGCCGACAAAACATTGATACTTTTCAGTTTTGGTGAATTTGTCAAGTCGTAAGTGAACTACTCATTTTCGGACTTGGTAGCAATATTCTATCAGATATACTCGTGATGAAACACCAAACATCGCTGTTTCGAACAACTATAATCTCATTAGTGGTTTTAGGCTGAACCTGAAACCACTGAATTGGAGCGAGCCTGGAAATAAATCTGATAACAGCTTCCGCCACGATGGGATCATAGCGGTTCAGCCAAATACCCCTGATGAATCATTGAGGGGTCGAAACAACATTTTGTGGTGTTACATAATGAGTTTATCTAGTTGCCTTGCAGTAAAAGTTGCAATGGAAGACAAACTACGTTTCTCATTTGGCGGTTGGTGTCCAAGCTTGGCTTTGGAACTGTGGGAAACCTCGTTGAGAACCTCGAGTGTTCTGTGGATCTCATTGACGTCTTCATAGGGAAATATATCATCACCTTTACGGAAAAAGTCAAACTTGAGTGGACCCGTTCTTTGATGAATATATTTTATATCATACATTTGTTATGCATGCAAAAAGGTGAAATCTTCCACTTATGGAGGTGAAATGAGTTAACTCTCTTTGAATTTGGGAATAATTATTTTCGCTATCCGTTACTAAAGTTGAGTGAATTGAAAAAATCATATCAAGTTATCTTTATGGAAGACGCCTATGCCTCTGTGGTGGAATTATTCAAGACGATGTATAAAAATCTCGTTTGGTTTCATTCATAAATGCTGCAGTCACAACAAATATATTTTCCAAGACTGATGAGCTGATCCACAAAAAGAAGTAATTGGATGACTCGAGCTTATGTTGAAAGCATCCAGGAAGTTCATGTAATCGATAATTCCTTGATGGAATATTAAATTAGTTGGGATGTATTATGTTTCACGATATTCAACTTCAGATATGCTTATACAATTCTCTGGAATATTTCATGAAATCTATAGTACGGTGAACCGATTTTAATGACTCTAATAACACAGGTTTCTTCAATATATTACTATTCATTATTTACTCTGTTCATAACCATGTACACTTCTGGAAATATTCTCATATTCTAGTTTTTGAATGTATGTTACTGAAAGTTACTTCTTTGTATGATCAACACATATTTGTATAGAGTTACTTTTTTTGAAATTGATTGTTTTCTTTCATTCTTTGTAATATTTCCATGGTTTTTTGTAAATTGAAGGAGAAGTAGAAAGCCAAAACTTTCTTTTCCGAGAATATCCACTTTTATGAAAGATATTCAATTGTTATCTGATTGGTAATGTTCCATAGGTAAATGAATATTGAAATGACAATTCAAGAATATAATAAAATATATAGCATATATAAGCATATAGTAAAATTCAGTTATTCCTTCGAGATAAATGTATAACAATCTTATATGATCATTATATTCAAAATTTTAATCATCATAATATACAGGGTGTTTCTTAACTACGGTACGAAACTTCAGACAGTTATTCGTTAAGTCTTTTCAAGAAAAAAGTTCCCATTAATAAATATCCGGAGTTGCTTCGCTTCTGAGATACGGGGCGTTGAAGTTCAAAAAAAACGGCATTTAGGTGTATCTAATATCAACAATCATTTGAAGTTGAATTTACTGTAATCATTCGCGGTTATTTTGATTACAACAACTATTCAACTTTTATTATTTGACTAACCTTGGATTTCATCAACAATTTTCTACAATCTGTTTTTGCAGTATTTCTGCTATTTGCCATAACTTCATCATGAATACCTTTTTTGTTTTCTTTACATTTTCTCATATTTTTTTTTCTATCAGTTAGACGTTTTTTGTTACTGAATTCTATATTCGTATTTATACATATTTTCTTCTGCCTTACGTTATCGGCTGGTTAGCAAACCGGCCATCGGATGCCTGCTTACACGCAGCCCCGCAGGATACGAGAATGACAGAATCACTTGTGATTCTGTTATTCCCTAACTGAATGGCATCTCAACGATGGCTAAATCCTAAGGTGTGTGTATCCATGCCGAGAGGTTGAATGACACCGTGCCTATTAGCTGTCTCTACGGAACTTTCGAGATACCGGGCGCCCTCTCGTCGTAGCATCGCCTTGTCACGGTAATGCGGGGCTCTTTCATGATTGACCTTGTTTCCCTAGCTTCTCGTGGGACTTTTATGGGCAGAGCAAACTTGAAAATTCTTCCTGACGCTGAGTCTATAGAGAAAATGGATGTCGAGTTTATGACTCCAACTGACCTCCCTGTAAATTTAGTTCAGGAGTCGTCTCCTCAAGGGCGTGATACCTTATAAAACCGCTTTGCATCACATTCTCGAGCGGCATACGCATAATCTATCTCAGGTGGAGGAACAAACCCCCCATGAGCAGGTTAGTAAACGTTTGCGCTCAAGTGATGATTTACCAAAACCAGAGGTGAAAAAGCCCTGCACGGTTGAATCTAAGGTATCGTCAGGTGTAGCTGATGTGCGGAAACCCTCATATGGGAAGGTTGAGATGAGAATCTTGCACCTTGACTATCCAACTACCTCATTAACGATGAGACAGCAGAGCATTTACTTTGTGGCTGCCCTGCTATGGACCGATCTGAAAGACCACTCACCATACAAACTAATCGGCTTTGTTAAAAAGCTAAGTTTATTTGGTCGAATGTGAATAGGTGTGAGCCAAAATAAACCCTTGCGGGTTGCGGTGGAGGGTCGAATAGACCGAATAGACACTCACTTTGGACCTAACCTAACATAACCTACGTCATCTCTTGAAATTTTCAGATTTTCAGTGTACCACTTGGGTTGATTAGACTAAGTGGTTTTTGTTTACATTTTCAGCGGAAAATCTATGTCTATAGCATGTGAAATTTAGCCTCACCTATTTCACTAATACGTCGGTTTTTCATCGCATTCTTATTCTGATCCATTTAATTTTTTGTGTTGACTTCGATAGGTGGTCCG